CCGCCATTGTGCTTTTGTGCCCAATGGGTACCTAGAGGAGTGTTTTCATGAATTTTAATTTTCCCATCTAGGTGCTTTTTTATGCGGACGCATAGTCGTCTACCCGTTCTCCCCTCACCGCATGCCTTACATGAGATTAAGTATATTGTACTTGAGCTCATTCAATCACCGTTTCTCGCTTCAGGATAGATCGAACACTTTTTTGAGCTGCGCAAACAACCATAGAGACGGTTGGGAACTAACTGACTGCGAAGGGTATTGTGTGGGGAGATCAATAATCGTTACATAATTTTCGAGATCATTTTTTCTTAAGCGTCTTTCAATAGCGCAACTTACTTCATTTGACATGAAGGGCAACTTAAAAAGGATCCTACTTAGGTCCGAGACATTATTTTGGAAAACTACCCAACGTTTTCTTCTAACCCGAGTGGCTTCTACTTTGTGGCCATTGGAAATGGTAATTTTTCGTGCCAGGTTTTGCGATTCCTTCCTTTCCTCTACACCTGTGCACACATTTTTAGCCGTACGGTACATGTTTGTAGTAAGTGCTTTTTTCGCGTGTGAAGGATGAGAGGAGAGGTATGAACTAGTATATTTTTACTACTTGGCTTGCGATACCATTTCGTTATATAGCCACTTTCTGAGAGCTTTATTTGGATGCTTAAGAATGGAAGCCAATTCTCGAGTGGTTTTTCTCGTGTGAATTTTATATACTCTGACTGTCTGTTTAACAATTCAAAGCACTCATCCACCTGTTCTTGTGTGGTAAGTAATTTTCGAGAGTTTCGCCCGGAAAATGCTTATTAAACGATTTAGCGCACGTAAGGCGTTTTTCGAGAGTTTCACGAGAGAAACGCTTATTTCGCGCCTTGATAAACCAGCTTTGATGCTTCCTCAACCACGATTACGTTCTTGAGTACTTTCTCCAAGCCTCCGGGAAATGTAGAGACTTAATGCTGAAGAATCTTTCCAAATAACTAGATGTGAATTAGCTGGAATAAAATTTCTAGAACGTGCTAAACAAGGTTGCCATAACCACAGTGGTGTTAAGATATATTTATTTACGTGATCTTATAAACTGATCATCTTAAGCTGACGTGAGGTTGGTACAGATCTTCGTTGTCGTCGTCGTTGTTTTTATGGCGTCTATTTGAAAGTGTGATTTTCATTAACACTTTAACCTTTCTTTTCCACCGAATAGTAAAAATATCCTAATATTAAATACGCCCAGGCTCTGAGGAAGGCGAAGTCGCCGAAACGTCAGCCATCGATCAATAACATCAAAAACACAAAAACAACGACAACGAAGAGTAAATATATCAACTATCTATGCTGAGGTTTATAGAAAGTCGGTTTTTCGAAATATTAAGATATTTATAAAACTCCCAACCGCGGGTGTCTGCGGTAGGGATCGAGCCCGCTATCACCCTTTCCGGGGGCTAACGCGTTCACCACCGCACTATGCGGGCCCTTGCTTTCGGCTTTCTCTCAGCCGTATTTCGCAAACATTTCAGCATCACTGTGGTTATATTTGACATAATAGCTTAACATGAGAAAACAATAGGTGGTTAATAGAAAGTGACAACAAATCTCTATGGCTTATTTCCCACGTAGCGCAGGATACACCTAGAATATCCATCTTGCCAGCCACATCATCATTTTAGTATGTATGGAATGTATCAGTGAGAAGTTAAGAAAAATCAGTAGAAATGATACAGGTGCGATATTTGCCTAATAATTTTTAAGTTCAAAAATAAATGCTTAAATGTGAGCAACAATTGCACTAAGCATGATTCCTTAACCCTTTTGCGACCCTACATCTTCATTTCAATGCGCATCCCATTTGTGTGCCAATCACACGCTATCGTGAAGCGTTTAAGGCACAGCTGTTAAAAAAAAAGGACCTTGCTCTGATTTCGCGGCCATTCATACTAGAAAGTTCTCCGCTTGTACGTTCAACCGACTTCTAGCAAGTTTACTATGTACGGATGCAAATTGAAAAGAATTATTTCGGAAATGTTAATGTGGACTGCGTTGAACTGTGAAGCCTTATAATGAAATAATCCTGTCATCTTGTATTTCCAACAGCTTCCTCATCCACAAACAAATTTCACTATAAAGCATTTGGAGAAAGGTATCTTCATCAAATCTGTGAACGAACAAGATCAAATATTCTTTCTAGAAAGAACCCAAATAGTTCCTGTCCAACTTCTGACCTTCAAAGAGCCCTAATCGCACTACAACTACCGTTCTCATTACGCACTTCCAAACAGCGTTACAAGCAACCCAGTTTTTTTCCTTACAAATTTTTCGTTTCCCTAGATTACTTAGTGGTCTTAAATGTATAGCCTAAGATAAGGAACCACTGAGTGATTCCACATAGAAAATAACCATACAAGGATTTTACGAACTTCAAAAATGGGTCGCACTTTTTAGACACTGTTTACTTGTATGCGGATCACAATATGCAACACTTAGCAGCATACCGTTCTTTTTCAGAGCATTTCCAAATCCCTTCGGCTCACAGAAATGGCTAAGGGCAAAACCAAACATGTTGTATCTGCAGCCGATCATATGACCACTGTTGTCAAGATACTATCGAATACCAATGGTAAAGTGGAGAACGATTCCTCGACTTCTCATTGTAAAACACTATACGCAACTCCCACGACCGACTTTCTATTAACTCGGCACTGATCAAGTAATTCTTCGTATTCTTGTTGAGCAAACACGAGGTGTTATTTTTATTCTTTATTCACGAATAAGCTGACGTTTCGGCGGATTTCGCCTTCCTCAGAGCTTCGAAAGGTCAAATTGACAGCAACCTATTCCGCCAAACACCTCCATAACCAAACAAGGAAAACGCTAAACCAAGATTTCAATCACATCGAGCACAGCTTTGCACACTCACCGCTTTCTATGAGGCTTCCACTGAGTATGCCGCGTGAAGACCAACCGTCCCAGAATTCACATGGAAGCGTAATGTACCCCTCTCATCAGAATTCAACTTGAACACCTTCACATCTCGCGTTTGCTCAACGAATACGAAGAATTACTTTACGTAACCTTCACAGTTAAAGTTGTCTATTTTAATAAAATACATTCTAAAAAAGCGAACATATTACAAAGCATTGCAAAAGCAGGAAAATATAGCATTCCCATTAGAGTACTGTTGTGTGCAGACGTACCACAGAAATTTCGTGGACCTCACTGCTTGGTTCATTCGTTGTACACGTATCGTTGACAGCCATAGTCGTGGTTACCTGTAACCACATCATTTTTGGCCAACACAGTTAAATTTTTGTTGAGATTTTCTTGAAACTCTACTATTCATAATGACTTTCCTTAAGTATGAATCAAATAATGAGCTGACATTTTTTTCTCGTGGACATTCCTCACCCATCACTTCTTATCCAAATGGCTTGATTTGGGTTTTCGGTTTTCGAACTGGGTACAATGGAAAGCTTTTCTCGGACATTCAGAAGTTTTCATTCAGATAATGTCCAATTCTATCTGTTCAAACGTTTTGCGTCTTCTATGAATTTCCCTGGATTTATTGTTAGAGATGTACCACTACATGACTTAACTTTTCCCATCAAGGGTTAACGAGAATAACTGCAGAAGATCTGGTTGGTAAATGTAGCACGGATTAAGTAACACTTTTGCCAGGTCGAACAATCTTGAAAAATCCGTTTAGTCTCCTTAACGTGTCTCTTTAAGTGCGGTACAACATGGCCTCTCCATTTAATGAGTGATTAATGATTAATGATTTAATTGGATTATTTTCTCTTTTACCCTGTTGTGTCTCTCTCACGAATCTGCAGTGCTCCTCGCACAGATTACGCTTTACCTCGTAGAAAATACTGTCGCTCTTCTCTCACCATCATACGGTTCTCATGTCACTCTTATACTTCCGTGTATTGTTTCTATACACTGCTCTCGTTCATTGCTCTACGAATTCACTTGTGCCACCTCATTTTACCGAGATTCGACCACTAAGGCAGCCTTCGCGTCTGCAGCACCTACCATAAGCACTCATGATCATTTTCCTCTTCGATTTCATAATTCGAGTTGTGTCCAACTCGCCACATGGCGTGTTCACCACCTAGTCCACAATATTGCCAGTCGCCAACCCATTCCTATTCGTCCTATCTTCCATTTTACCCTTATTCTCAATTTAACACCATATTCATTCCATTACTGTTTATTAGCTTGTCGCTTACATGTGCATATGTATAATCCCATAACTACCAGAGTTTGAGATTCATAGAGTGGTACAAGTAAGATTTTCTCCTTCTCTCCGAACGCAACCACTCCGTATTGTACCAGCTGATACATTCGATACTCCAGCACTAAATGAGATATTTTCTTTATCTGTGCTACTTCATGCATTCGCTGCATTGGCTAGCAAATTTGTTCCCTTTAAGCTTTTGTAACCACGATGGGCTCTTAGTTCAGCCTGTTGTCATTTGCGAACGTAAAAGAACGAAGGCGTAACAGTTTCAAATAACAGCACAGTGGTAGTGAAGCCGATCATCAAGCTCACTGTACTGATTCGATCCTATTTACGTCTTACTAGGTTTATCATCTCTCCGGATTCTGGAAACTGCTATCGGACTTAACTGGGAAAAGTTCGCTTCTTACAGTTCAAGTGGGAATGCTTTAATCCTACTATCTCAGGACTCCAAAGAATATCGACTTGACCAGCATTCAACGGTACTCATAGTGAAAGAAAAATCCTCAAACAGCAGCCGAAACCACATGTAAAAAGTTACTACGTGACTGCAAAGAACTTCAGTACTTCTATCAATGGCCTCTTGTTTCTCAAGCATCATCTTCTCATTCCATTTCGTTATGGCGACTAAATTTATGCAGTACGCATTCTTTTACAACTGTTTTGGAATGGTGTATTTATTGCTTGGCAGATGTTGTTCGACGACGTATGATGCAATATAAGGAAAAGAATGTAAATCGTTTTCACTGTGAAACTTTCTTTGAGAATGGAATGGCACAGTTCTCGTAATCGATTGAATATGTCGCCACCAGAGGAAGCTACGTTGGAATACGCAAAATACCTTGTCGACTACACGAAAGATGGAAGCCGACTCATTTCTTTCCACAATGAGCTGAATAATTTCTACTTACTACGGGAGTCGACAAGAAAATCGCTAAAGGAACTTGTTGAGAAAGATCAGTCATTTCGTACAGTTTGAGCAGCGTGTTGGTTAGAATTAAACGTTGCGAAAATGCGTCGCGATTTGACTTCATAATTGGTTGAAGTAGTTCCACTATGACGTCCATGTCACTTTGCGTTTACTCAAATTGTTAGCTGTGACAATGAGTTTAATCATTTCCGAAATTGAAATTTATGAACAAGGAGATCTCAGTGAAGGATCTGAAGGTGGTATAGCGAAGAGCACGTGGATTCGAAACCTTATTGTGAACGAATTACAGGGGAGCAGGAATAAGGATTCGAAAAGGTTCTAGAACGGTGATGATACTGTTAAGGAGGAATATTGTTATTCTTTCTTAGTTCCTATTCTTAGTTTATCTCCTTAATTACTGTATCTGTTACTCATTGTGGTAGACTATTCACGCAAAACATGGATGAACATAAAAGTTGATGGACATGAGGGAACCAACTGGACGCGAAAAGAGTCGGGATCAGCACTGTAGATGTCAAAGAGGAGTCGTGTGAAAAATATTACTATATCCTTCATTTTCTTTACTGTGGTTCGTAAACATTCTTTTTCTCAGTCTATGAGAACACAGTTCAGTCAAGCTGGACTGCGAACATTGATGATGCTACTCAGTCACCTTGCACTGGCACATCTCTGTCTGCTATACTCTCCCCAGCAGTGATAGGTTGCCTAATTTACCATTTTGTCATTGTGGATTTCATACAAAGCATGTATTATAAGCATATACTCTGCTACTAATCGATCACTTTCTTCGTTACATTTATAGGAAGGACGTGCAGTGGATTTTCCTTATGTGGGTAATCCGGAGCGGTTTAATCATGAAGCTATGTGACACTCTTCGGGTAGTGCATTACGATTAGAAATGGACCAGAAGCGGAGATTTAAATGTAGAAAGATACGCATTGATTTAGAGTTGCGTTTGCTCTCTTAACTATTTCTAGTTGAATTACTCCATCATTATGGGATTGTCGTATCTATTCATGCATGCTTGGGTATGTTTCATGTATGCGGTTCAGTAATGCACGTCGAATCGAGAAAACTGCGATCAGGTGACTGGTAATTACATAAGCGGCTGTTTGAGACCACTTCTCACAAATGAGCCACACGTCTATCAGCAGGGCACTTTTGATTATTGCATATCAAGCCGCCACGGTAAAGCAGGGTGGGCTATACGTGGTTGCAAGGTTGCTTTGGAAACTTTAAAAATAAGAACTCCAATATCGGAAGTGTTCTACTATTCCTGTATCTTGATTAGAGGTTACAGAACAACTTAAGCACACACTATAGAAACAAATTAAAACTTTGGTGCCAGATCGATTCATGAGGTGATTAGTGGATGTTATGCAGGTGATACTAAGGTATATGTCAGCCAAAAATGTGTTCCTGTTCTTAAATTTAGCGCGTGTAAATGAAGATTTGCTTAAGGTAATAGAGTAGAACTCGAACTCTGTTTCGTTTTTTGATATTTATTGAGTTGTTTAAGCTGATGTTGAAAGGTCCTCGAACACGTGGACAAAGAACGTAGCTGCAGCTGGTACAAAGGTTGGACAGGTCTGCGGCTACGGTACCCTAAATAAAAGCTTTCGAATTGAAGAAGGGACAGGCAGAGGTTTTCGTTCCGGTGAAGAAGGTGGACATCTTAGTAGAAGGTGTGCTTCCTTTATACCTTGTGCTAAACGTGTACAGGATTTTTCAAATCGACCATCGTTTAATCTATTTAAGTTGATAAGAAGGTTTATTCAACTAACATTTCGACATCTTCGTTTTCAGAGCTCGATTGATCTGTGTCGGTGATCCTCAGCTGGTCGTAGTCGCGATATGGTTGTTCGTTATCGCATCGAGTCGAATCCAGTCGTAATGCACCGTTTGAATGGTTCACTTTATTCAGCAGTGCACTTTTGTGATCGATCGCCACGTCCAATATAATCTACCTAGGACTAGCACTCATTCAGGCTTTTACTGGTATCAATCGCCATGTAACAGCAGAAGTAACGCTGTTACATGGCGATTGATATCAGTAAAAGCCTGCACATTCCAGCACTAATGTTTCCTTTGCACTCACAAGTATTGATTCCCGACTGAGTCGCCTCAATCGTGATGATTCGTCTTCAAGAAATAGAGGGATTTGATGTTCTAACGACGGTAACGAAGAGCAAGCGTTGAGAAGCCTTGTTTTCCGTTTTCGTTGACACATATGGCTTGGCACTAGTTTTTACTTTCCATGCTCCCCATATTTGAGCTGATTACGTCATATTCATTTTTTTCTACTTGATTTCTCATGTGGAATATTAGCCTCAAATATTGTAGTTCCCGAATTTTCTCCAATGTTTCCAGTTATTTGTCGTAAGATGGTGGTGTTCCCATAGTTTCTCAGCAGTATTTGTTCGACAGTGTATATTTGGATAGATCTGAAACAATATTGAATAGCAAGTGTATCAGATTTGGAGGTGATGGATATTGAGCGAAAAGGAACTGGACGAAACAACGTGACAAAAAAATTTATGTATTAAGCTTTGTATGCTGAGGCTAAGATTGTGTATGGATGAGTAGATTGCAGGTCAAGATGACAGTTGCACACTAATAAATGCTGTAATAAAAAACTCGTGTATGCTCACCAAGAAAAACAGTTGATTATTGGTCGTTCCGAATGTTAGAAAAGTCGGTCCTGGGATTTTAGACAATGTGACTGCAATCACACGAACTTTACTGAAATTACAGCCCTATTATTCGTGGACACTGGTGAGCTGAACGTGTTAGCCCCAGGAAGGGGTAATAGATCGTTCGTTCCCCACCGCAGACTCCTGCGGTCAGGAGTTTATATATCTCCGCATCATCTTGGTTGTATTTTGAATGATACCCTGCCATGAAAAATTGTAGTAGGTTGTAAACGCCTTTTGCATGGATGTCGTAGAATTCCGGTCGAGTCGGTTCACCTCGTATCTTGGAGATAGCCAAGCTAAGGCGTTCCCACGTCCACTGAAAGAGAGTGTTGAGAAGGGTCGAACCAGAAGCTTGTTTCCTAATGAAGTGAGTCACTAAGCATTTTGTTATTTCGCCTCACCCCTCTTCGAATGCTTTATATATTACGCCGCATATGCATTAAGATTATACTATATACGCTACATTTTTAAAAAGTTCCTGTACACGAAGTGTATTGATTTTGAACAATGCAAATTTTCAGTGAATGAAATATAATTACAATAGTGCTGACACATGAACCAAATCACTAGGCTGAATCTGCACTCAAAATCACAATGTTTTATCTCGTATATAATGCTGAGATATTTGCAAAACTCCGGACTGCAGGTGTATGCGGTGGGGAATGAACGCGCTTTTGTCCTTTCCCGCGGAGTAGCGCACTTCACCACCACACCATCCGGGTCCTTCGTTTTGCCTGTTTCTCAGCTAGTTCTATTAATCTTTTGCCATCAGCAATCACCCGTCAACGGGATTGATCTGGGGAGCCCAAATCGGCATTGAACCCAGTTAAGCTGAGGCTTAGTTATAATCACAATCTTAACCCTTTTATTTACTGCCTTTTTTTAAATGGCAGGGTATATTGCGAAATATAACTCGTATATTGTATCGAAATATAACTGTATGCGGCAAAAGATCAATAGAACTAGCTGAGAGACAGACAAAACGAAGGACGCGGATGGTGTGGTGGTGAAGTGCGCTACTCCCCGGAAAGGACAATAGCGCGTTCGTTCCCACCGCATACACCTGCGATCCGGAGTTTTGTAAATATCTCAGCATTGTATACGAGTTATACCCTGTTATTAAAAAGAAAAAGGCAGTAAATAAAAGGGTTAAGACACAATGTTTTAATTTATAATTACTGTCTTTTCCTTTTCATGGCACGTTCTCATGTGAAACACAACCGCAAGGATGCTGGGATGTGTGCAAAACTCGAACACCAGCTGAGCATCCAGCGCGTAATTGGTCTTACTGGAGCTCACGTGTTATACACTCCACCAACTGAATTCGTGTTGTTGGCCATAATGAATTCTGTACAGTGTGAGGAATCCGAGATGATCCTAACATATGTATTATACGTTAAAAAGTGTTACACGCTGCTTTCAGAACAAGGTTGTTTGCTACTGTAACTTCGTTTCACTGCCCAAGCTCCAGACATTGATTCAACACTTTTTCACATCATTTGAGCTTCTGAAAGATGGAAGTGAGGAAATAATTGTACGCCGATGCTGTTTCCGGAAATTCCATGCCGCGTGTAAACGCGGTACGAGACTGCGTAATTTAGAACACCGTTGCTCAGTGAAAGTCTCCTGTTGTAGAATTGCTACTTACAATGCAAAGCAGAAACCAGCAGCTGAAAAGCGTTCGTTAAGCAGCGAAGTCTCCACAATTCAGTGGAATGTACGTTTGATCTGGATTCCAAATGATCGTTCATTTGATGGGGACAATTTGCAATTTGATTCGAGTTTCATCTATCCCTTAGAGGAGAACTGGACTGAATAAAGCTTCTTGGAAGCAACTGAATGCATATTTGATCTGAAGAAGGACTTGGAGTCATCCATTGATGGTTTTCTGCTTGGCCAGACAAGAATAGTACAAATTCACAAAGAGGACGAGTTGCCATAGGTCGCCTCGTCGAACGAACAACACATGCATCATATATGTATATATACATATATATGTTTAAATATATAGAAACAATTGTTTATACATATATATCTGTTCATATATACTTACTATGGGCGCGTGTAGCCCAGAGATCGGAGGTGGCCTGCAATACACATGAAATCGATCCCGCACTCTCGGTTCACCAAGCTTTCTATCCCTCCGGAGTGAAGAAATTGATGCCGAAGTCCTCTAGGAGGACAGGAGCACTGCCTCCATACAACAGCACCACGAGTCATTGTAAAGGTCAGATATGCATTCAATCACCTCCAACGATGCTTATTCAAGTCGAATGCATTTCGAACCGCTCAGAGATGGATCAATGCCAAGAACTTTGTCCTTCTCCTTTTGTACTCTCTATGCGCCAAAGT